AATTCTCATGCGAAATTCACTTTACGCACACTCTTGAACTTTACGCACTCATGCACAAAAACAACCACATTGCCCCCGTGACAGTTCTGAACAGTGAACTCGGCAGGTACCACAAAAAATAGGATGTGTTACACGTGCTTGCGAAAAAGTGGAATTATTAAATGTATTTTCAATTTGTTTAATAGCAATCCACGTTTTTTTCCAATTTTTGATAATTGCGCCCTTGCCTTACAATTAATAACAAATATATTATGAGCAAACCTTGAAGGAATTACATACTGATAATATTATAATTCCACAGAATACTCCATCACATATTCATTGAGTACTAAGGTCATCCCTCAAAAGATGGGATTTGTCTCGTGTGTATGAGAATTTTGTCGGATGGTGAAGCAACAACGGCAATTTCGATGCAAAATAGTTCGAAAAGATGACCGAAAAAGAAATTGAATATTGACTGCAGTCTGAATACTTCTAATCCATAATGATTGTCGATTTCCCACAAGATGAGTGATATTGTTGCATACTACGAGTGAAGAAATGTTGAAAAATAGAGACATCATTTTGAAGAATAAAATTGAAAAATAAAAGAATTTTCTCGAATATATTGTTGATTATTTTTCCAACCCAAATATCGGGTAATATAATTGGCCCATTCGACATCACGTGGTACAAGCTACAGGGTTTTCAACTGATACTTTTTTGATAATTTTCTCTGGTAGTTGCTATATAAAAAACAAAACATCATGCAGTCGAATTAACCCCTCGTCAAACTGACAGATTGAATTCAATTGTGGTAATCTGAGGATTTTTATTCGAAATGAGTAGATTCGGTGTTCATTCCCTGAAAACCATTGACGAAAAAGTAAAGGGAAATATTCCCGTCAATACGGGGAAAACGAAGAAGACAATTTGGAATCAATTTACCAGTTTTTGTGAGGAGAGAAACTACACATTGAGTGCTGACACACACATTGAATGCTGTTGTGTTAATTATACAATTTTCGTTTCTCAATTGTGAGTTTCGTCTCATGGTCCAATTATATTGCCCGACATTTCGATTGGAAAAATAATTCCCCGAATACCACACGAGTTTCAAAATTAATCGGGCATTGTGGGCTCTTGTGGTATTACAAGTGAGTATTTGTTCTTTTTCTCCCTCTGAACTATCTTCGATCGTCTCATTCTATTCCGTTATTCTTTTATCTCGTGTCTTGTTCCATGGTCGTATCTTTTTAATTACTACTCTTTTTATTATTTATTTCGCCCAAATTCTTTAATAAACTGATTATTTATTAAAAAGGGTCTCTTCTTTAACATTAGTATCGGAAGTATTGCGATTATTTTTTTTAGAGTGAAATAGTGAAAATTCAAGAAGTAAAATGGCTGCTCCCGCTGAAAGGCATCGTTTTCGTACTTCTCACCGGGTGACAAGCCTCACATATCTGGATACTCAAGACTAGGATTTAACTCGATATCCGGGAAGAAGTCCGGTTAGCCGTGGGTGATCTGAAGCCCTGGCTGACCGATTTTCTCGCTCAACATGGACACAATATGAAGATGGAACTTCAAGAGGGAAGACAAGGAACTTTGTCGAAAATTCCATTCGATCAAATAATCAACTCATGATGGATTATTTACCGAAAAAATCCCCGATATGTTGCAACATCTGACAATGGTGCTGCAGAATCAATTTCAATCTGCAGTCAATCAAGCCATCGAAAGTGCGGTCAAAAGGAAGGTTGAAAATATGAGGAATGAAATCATGGAAATTTTAACAGATAAGTCAATTTCTCCTTGTCCTGACATACTATTTCCTCAACATTCTAACACATTAACTAACTTCACACTATATTCCTAAATCTCCTCGAAATTCTCACTTTCTCCCATCGACACTTAAAATTTAACCTTCTAAGATGAAAGTCAGCCTGAGTAGTACTGTGTCCGGCGGAGTGGGGACGGGAAATTCTTACCGAAAATGCATAGAGTGGTGGAAACGCCCATTCGCCTCAGTGGGTTAATAAAATTGCCACATTAGGATGGAACTACTTCATGGTGGTAATATGAGCGACTTTTTGACGTTATTGCAACAGAGAATGGACGGTCAGGTAGAGTCACCGCGTTATATATTTACTTCCTTCCCATCGAGGTAAGTCTCAATCAATTATTGAGACACTTCCAGTTTTCGATTTAACGGATAATAATAAATGAGAAGACGTCCTTAATTCTAGATTCGGGGAACAGCAATTTTACCGCGTGTATTATTCCCACTTACGCGCTCGGGTTCAAAATAGAAACGAGGATTTGAAAATTTATGCGGAAGAGGTCCGTAAAATTGGTGGTCCTAGCTCCTCAGATTTTTCTGAGGGTAAACTCAAAATTATGGGTTTTTTAGGTGCTTTTTTTGGTATCCGAATGAAAAATTTAATGTCCATATTTTTGACTCATAAACTAGAATTCGTTATTTTAAGCATAAAGCTAGCAATCCTGATCTTGGAAAATGGTTCACAAAAAAAATGAGCACCATAATTAAGAGCTTTTTAAGCGCTTTCTTGGTACCTAGTCTCGAAAAAAGTGAATCATAAATGAAACAAGCGCGATAATTACGCACTTTTCTGGTACTCAAATAGAAAATTTGGTGCTCATTTTTTTTGTCCCATACAGAATGAATGGATTGCTTTGAGGACGTGAGATGGTTTAATTCCATGTTTTCAGGGATCCGTATCTTGAGGCGAAAGAAATGGTGTTGGCGTGGACTCGTGGGTCAAGATTACACAACGAGTAGTCCAAGTATTGGCCCGCGGTGAGATTGATTTTACTGAGCATTGGGAATTGGGGTGGGCACAAGGTGGATGAGACGAAGTCTCCGGATGACTGTGTCGAATGTGCTTCTCCTTGCTGAGCGCCCTGCGAGGTGAGAAGGATTCCCAGGTGACCGTTGATTTCAACCGTTTTGACCATTGAGTCAAGCATTCTGGAGGAAGAAAGCACACGTCAGAAGAGTGGAAACATCCTCGGCGCAGAACATGTGATAATTCTCGTGATAGACACACTTTATTGTAATGACTCGACTGAAAAGACGGTGATCGATGAAGTGGATTACTCCTAGTATGGTGAACTTCGTCCACTCTACGCTTTCACACTGCTGCCTCCGCATTGAGAGTCCCACCACTAGATGTCCTCGGAATAGACGAGTTTGCCTCCAAGGCCGGATTCCGCCAGACTTTCCGTAAAAGCTTAGCTGGCACCCAACATATTGAGCGATGGAGAAGGTCTCAAAATTGTTTGGGATCTCGGCTGGTGAAGCACCACCAAAAATCCCTTACAATATACAGATGGAGACATATGCTTGCTGTAGAATTCATTGGCATAGTTTTTTGAGTTTTCCCTTTGGGGAAAGGATTTAATGATACTTGCAAGTTATGGTCTGAAGGATATTCCAGGAAGAGATGTTCATGGAGAACGATCGATTCGTGATGATGATCGTGACTTGAGATTTCCTAAATAATGATACTCAAAACTCAAAATATCGTTATAAGAAAATTGAAATAATGCCTCTATGTTTGGCTTGTTTTCTGATCTTCTCGAGACGTGAAATGTTCAATGGAATCATGACTTCATAAGAAGTCGTGTATCACCATTATTTTGTTCATGTAATTTCTCGGTACTTACTATTCCTGAAATTTAGAAATGGCCGATTATAATTCCCCATGACTTTCAAGATTATCCGATATTTTCCATAGTTGTGCAGCATAGCAACAATAAGAAGGATGAATTTTGTAAGTTGAAATGTATTGCAGAACTTATATCGATTGATGATTGCAGGAGAACTTGAGAGAAACATCCAATGAATTTTGAAGGTCGCGGGGTGTTCGGAGGATTATTTCCTCCATTCTGATTTTGGCCTATCAAGTGTGATGTTCGGGGTTACATGACACCATTCAGCAAAATGTGGAGAATATGTGTCAAGCGAGTATAGAGAAATTGTATAGAGAAATTGCCATTCTGATAATTTACCGGGCGCGGGGGAAGTTTCAATGTGAAACGTGTCACGTGACTCGAAATGCGGCACTCTCATTGATCGAAATCATAATGGAAGAAATAATCACAAATATTCACCTTGTAGCTGATACTATTAATGACTGAAACACAACTTTTTCAGAACATATCATAGACGTCCTTGATAGGACATACATAATATCATTATGGTATTTATGGCGGGTAGGCAAGTAGAAGATAAGGCGGACGGAAATCTATTGTTCTCTTGCAGAAAACTAATTGCCGAACAAAAAAAAACTATATTTCAATTAGGAATTTTCAATCTATTTCGACCATTTTTGTATGCGAAATATTTTTTCAACAACTTTTTCATTTTTTTCCCACCTATTTTAAGCCTTCGTTTATTTTTCTTCTGAATAATTGAAATATAATTAATATGGATAGAAAAAGTGACAACGTCGTGCCGTTCGAGGTAGAAGTTAGCAGCACTGATTCACTCAGCTATTAGGTTCTTTCCCATAGCGAAATGTATCATCACAACTCCAGTCGTATCTGCCACGCTTACCCCTCAATGATTTCTAACCTCATATGCAGATGATTTCTAACCTCGACGTTGTCGCTATTCCAAGTTGCGCACGCAGAATTTTTATTTTTCATGTGTTTTTTAATTATCTCTTCTAAACAATTTTCTTAAGCCACTACAATTATTTTTTATTTTCCTCCTGTTTGTCTATTTTTAATATTTTTTTTCCGAATTTCCATAAGAACCCGCGTTAAAATGAAATTTTCAGAAAAATTCCTGTGTTTCACTCATGCTCCTCAACTATCGTGGATGTTGCATAGAGGTTTAGAAAAATTCGAAGAATGTATGAAAAAAAATCAATTTCCTGACTTTTTTTCAACCTCCCCTGACGACGCCATAAATACCTCAAGAGGGTATCCCCTTAATTCTAGGATAACTTGATAATTACATGAAAAAAAATATTTATTTTTCATTTTACCTGCAGAGGAGAATATCTGAATAAGATGGAGGCATGCCACCCTCATCTTTTCCATAAATACTTTCGTAAGTTGGTGGAGGAAAGATTCCTATTGATCCCATACTATCTTTACTCGGAGTTTCAGCATCCATTTCAAGAACACTACCCTGGTTACTTTGCAGCTGATGCCTATTAACGCATCGAGGATTTCTCTGTGCCCGGATGACAGTTTCTCCCAATTCTACGAGATCCAACCCTAAAAACAACAAAGAAATTTATTATTTTTACTTCCTGGTTCCAATTGAGCAAAAGCAAGCCTGAGTATCGTTTACAATTTTTTTATGATCTCATCATAGAAAATTATTTTACTAATATCTTCGGAGCTCGTAGGTTTGAATGATGTGGCACGACAATTTTTCTCCGCTTACGGATGATGATATTTATATTATTAAAATAAAATTCTCAGTTTTGGAAGTTCTGTCATAAAAATGGTTTCCGTGAGACTTTTCTCACATGCGCAGTCACTTAAAAAAATATGTATAGTCCCGGATAGAACCATCAAATATGGCGGAAATTATGTTGTTTGAAATGGATTTGAACATAAATAAGAAGAACGGGCGTCTGAGAATTGTTGATCTCGACCCTCTCCCATTATTTGTAGAAGACCAGCTGGCAATAGTTCTTGACTGAGTTTCTTCTTAAGAAAATCAAGATTTTCCTTTCGAAGATGTTGCAATATGAGCATCAGATAATTTTTCTGAATTTTTCAGAAGACATGACACAGGATTTTCGTCTGCGACATTTTACAGGATTTTGCCTGAGAAGTTTCACAGGATTCTCCTCAAGTAGTTCGAGAGGATTTTCTCCAGGTAGTATTATTGATTCTTTTCCAGGCAATTGCACAGGATTCTCTCCAGCAAATTTACAGAATATCCTCCAGTGAATTTTTCGCTGAGTGTGGAAATTCTTTTTCGGAAAATGTTGAAAATTTAACAGAATTTTCTGCCGGACAATTTTCAAGATTTTCTCCAGGAGATTTTCCAAAATTGTAAAACATTACAAAACATGTTCAATAATTTTTTTTCAACATTGACAAAAACTACAGATGAGGAAAGAAGTAAGAAAGAAAAATTGTGAAAACATTGTGAAACATGTGGCAAAATGTTTTTTTGGATTTTTGATAAAACCTAGAGTATTATTGTTTCAATTAGAGGGTTGCTGCTGACAATTTTTCTGTCGATAAACACACATCTCTCTCTCTCTCTCTCCCTCTCCCTCTCTCCCTCTCTCTCTCTCTCTCTC